CTTCAAGACAGGGCCTTTCAGTTTTTAGTGAGACACAAAAGGGAAAGGGTGAGGAAAAGCTGACGAGGCCTCTCTTCGCTCCGGCTCAAATTCTTTGAAAGAGCCAGCACCAAGAGAAGAACCAGATTAAGAGCCAACAAAAGCAGAGCACCCCCACAAAAAAGCTGTCGTGCACCCCTACAGTTCCCCTCACCACTCTCTTCCTTATAAAACATCCTGGACCCCCAGGAGGTGATAAAAAGAAGCGCCCTTACCCACAGAAAGTATGCAAAGAAAGTGCATGTACAAAGGCCATTTGCAATTTTACAAAATGGCAGACATAATGCTCTTACTGAAAAACGAGGACCTGCCATATTGTGTTGGAGAGGAAAAAATATGGCAGCAGAGAAAAAATGGAGAAAAATCATGCTGGCCTGGTTTACGACAAATAGATAGCTCTATTGATTTCCCTTTTACAGTGACTGTCCATCCCTCACTGTTGTGATTACACTGACCTATTTCAGAAAAAAATAGCCGTCTATTATAGATTAAACCAAAATGTCCAAAAAGAAAATACTCTTTTTTTGTGGAACAAACAAATAGAGTAAGATGAAACATAACCTACAGTACAGAAAGAGAAAAGGATTGTGTCAATTTAAACGTTCAATGTTGCTCTGGGAGTGGAGGAAACAACGAGTTCTAGTGCCATGCTGAGAATCAAATAACTTTCCACAGAAAGAGCGGATGTGCTTAGTGTAACCCTGCATTGTCAATTTCAATCCTTACAAAAACGCAAAACCATTAAAATGATTGCAACATTGCTCAACCAACATTTAAACCAATTTTACAAACTTAGAATATTATTTAGTAAGAACAACAGAGTATAGCATATGTGATAATAATCTAATGTACTGTATGTGCTACTGTATTGTTTTTCACTCAATACACAGTTCAGTGTTGTATGCTTTGTGCTGGTGATTCCTCTGCGTCTGTGTGTATTGCTGTTTGTGCTCGTCCTGCTCCACTATGTCTGTGTCGTGCGTCTCACTAGACTATCTCTCTCCGCGTAGCTCAGGGGACTCTGGCTGGCTGATCTTCATTATCAGCCCTAGCTTAACAATGTACTGGATGCACTTCCCACATGAGTGCAACTAACAAATCCCCACAGAGCTGAATCAAGGCAACAATGTGATGAAATACCTTCAAACAACCACTGAGCATGGAACACTGAGCTATGCAGAGACAACTCACACTGCCCCGGGTGATTCCACAGGAGTGCGCCTGTTGCCAAGCAAAATTAGACAGCAACTGGGACATATTATTCTCCTAAATTGGCAATGTACAGCACTATTAAGGACAATCCATCTCATGTTTGATTAACTGAAAATACCTCAACTCACTGAGCCAGTGCAGTAGTGTTCTACAACTCAGAAATCGGAGCAGGATCTGCCATGCCATTTAGAAGAAAATCAGCATGCTTTACTACGGTAAAAGCTGTCATTGTGCTATGAGAACACAGCGAGCATTATTGGGATTAATAATGCTGTTAGCAAATTTTTCCAAACATACAGCAGACTACTTTTACGAGAGAAATTTCAAATGCACAAAGGCATGAAATCTACAAGCTCTAGCTTTATAACTCTGGGTCTCACTGACTGATATCATTTCACTGTAACTCTGCTCTCTGTTGTTCTAAGGCATAGCAGAAGAATCAAAATCATCTGGTGCCTTTAAAACAGATTGGCTGCACTATTACTATGTGAGCACAGATCTCTGACGAGAGAAACTCAATACAAGTTGCTAGCAAATAGATGAAGATGCAGGAGCAAGGCCATGTTTCTCAATCAGTGTAAGGAGTCTGTCACCACAATGGAGATAAATATAGGATGAAAAAACTGCGACTCTCTACAACGTATCTGTGAGGCTGAAGAGAGGAAGCCTCATCTGTCTCCTTTTCTCTTTTCCCAGCGATACATTTGTACTACTGCCTCCCTCTGGCCACTCTTTTCACAATCTAAACTCACACACACTACTTATAGTACACATTAATGCAGAAAATTGGCAGGATAAAACAAACACCTGTGGAATTTAATGGAATCAAATAGAATGACAATGCATGTGCAGTGCTTGAATAATAGTGGATAGTGCTTTTGTGGTGCTTTTTCCATAATATTGTAGGGTGTTTCTGTTATTTTGACATATTAGCATAGTGTCTTATTAAGCTTGTATGTTTTGTATAATCTTATACAAAGCAAACTGTTTTGTAAAAAAAAACAAAAAAGCAAATTAATATAGATCTGCAGGCCCTTTTGTGTATCTTAGTCTGAACACTCAGTCAGACAATCAGTATATTGTACATCTACAGCTGCAAGAGAGAAAGAGCATTTGCTAGGTAATCAGGAGATCTGCTCGGTTCGAGGAAGAGCATCCTGGCTACGCGACCTTTGTGTGTGTGTGTGTGTGTGTGTGTGTGTGTGTGTGTGTGTGTGCGTTAGTTGGCTTTCTGCTATTCGAGCTGTGAGACAGAGCCCCAGACTGCTGATGGTAGATTAGAGGTGAGACGTCTAATCTCAGTGTAATCAGCTGCTGCATCTGATCCTCCGCTCCACACCATCTCTCTCAACAGGCCTAAACAGAAACTCATCTCCCAGCAACGTAGCCTTGCAGAGGTGGGAGAAGGTGAACGCGTATATCTGGTGTCCACCATCAAAGTAAAAACTACAATGCACAATTTAAGCCCATGATCTTTCACTGTTATCTCTTTTTGAAATAGGCAGTTTCAGGGATACATCAACTGCTACTGAAAGTCCATTTAACAGAGTACACGTAAAACTGTCAGGGAAATGTACAGGAAAACCACAGTTGACTTCTTGCTGAGAAATACAGCCTTGTGGTAAAAAAAAGTGCGTGGGGCCGCCCCTTATGGGGAATGAAGAAAGAAGGGGGAGACAGAGAACGAGAAGAAAGAGTTGTTATAATAGCCAGAATGGGGAGAGGACATCACAGTCATTGGCACAATGAAATAAGTATTTGTTTTCATCTAGAATACCGATACTGATAGCTCAATGATTAGTCCAGTTGTTTGGATGGAAGAAGGAGAGGAGAGGAGAGGAGAGGAGAGGAGAGGAGAGGAGAGGAGAGGAGTCTGCCAGTGAACAGCTGCCCCTGTAATTTATATTGATGAGGGGACTGGCATGGCGGGAAGCTTCCAGCAGTTTGATCACTCAGGCAGAGTGGGGAGTTAGTCAGAGACACGGCCCATCCCTGTGGTCTGGGTTGGACTGGGAAGACCTCCTAAACACACACACATACACACACAACACATACAAGCAGGACTGCCAAACTCCCATTACGAGTGGCAGTGTGGACTGGCGCAGTGGGGAAGCCAATGTTTTCACTCTGAGAACAGAAATAGATCTACAGCCTGACTATAACCATGTAGGGCAGAGCAATCTCCCTCATTATTACTCCACCATCCATATAATCACCAGGCTTCTCTGAAAAAGACCTTCCCTCCACATTCTCAATGACCATTAACTGGCCCTTGAACCTCTTCTTGTGCACACAGCTCTGACAAGGTTCTACAGTTGCTTCCTGTCTGTAAGGCACAGCAATCAACTACTTGTTAAGGAGCTTTACTTTGATTTCCTCACATGGACAAGATTTGAATATTTCTCACTGAAATGAGATAGCGTAGTCCAGTCTCTGCCCAGGACTTTGAACCCAAGACTCTTAAATCATGCTCTTTGATATGAGCTCCCTTCCGGTGTAGAGGTGCTTAGTGCCTCACTAATTAAGATGGGGCGTGGATGGTAGGTCAAAGCGTTTCTGTTATACCTTGAAGATATCCTGACACAAACACGAACATGCAGGCGCACACAAATTAAAAAAAAATACCATAGCCCCTCCAGACAAGCAAATATCTTAACACACAATCATGCTGCTGTTTTGACGGGCTGTTTGAGTAAGGTAGAGCTCTCAAGCATAGCAGATCATATCCTTTGCCCTGCTGTCTGATGTAAGAAAGAGCCGGGGTGTTTTACAGGGTGAGAAGCAGCCTCTCACAATCTGAAACACTCCGACCGCTCTTACAGAAAAGCCCTCTGGCCGTCCCTCTCCACAAGTTTCATCAGAGTGATCAGAGCAAAAGGATAGCCTTCAGGGCTAGTTTCTTCCATTCACACAGTAGGGTATGAACTCACACGCATAGATGTACACACACACACACACACACACACACACACACACACACAGACACACTGCAGTACACAACACAAAAGCGTTTTTACATGCCTTTTCAAATGCACTTCACACATGTCAAAATACAGTACAAATCACTTGGAAATCATTGATTTCTACAGGTTTGACTGTTCATCAATTCTTCATGAGCAGACTGAAATTGCAATGGTGGTTAGATAAGCCTGTGTACTATTGTTGTAGTGCACAAAGAAGTCTTGCATCTCACATGTGAGACATGTTTCACATACTGTGTCTGTATCTTTCAATTTTAGTGATATGATCTATACTTGAAGAATACAAACTCTTGGTAGTTAATGCAGCCTCAGAGGTTAAAAACCACCACACAACACCACATCCGCGTTGTTCAGCTGCAAGTCCTTGCAGAAAACAAAGAAGTGCTTCAGCACACTGTCTGCTCCAACTTTACATGATTATCAAACAGTCATGAGACTGCATAGCGTTTTAATTTCCTCTCTGGGATTATCATCATATTCTTCCCAGGATGGAGAAATACGAAAATGTGAAAGTGGATGACACAGGTCTAATTGAAGGTACTGGTTTATTACAATACCAGTCAGGCCACAATATGTATATAGGCACTGATGAAAGGGAAGTCCACAAGATGATTTTATCATCTGCACTGTATTTGAGGTTGGATGATTTGTTTTCTTTTTCACATTAACTCTTTGTAGAATTTATCTTAGAATTAAATTACATTTTTACAGCTTTAAAATTGTAGTGCAAACAAAAGCCAGAGTAATAAAAAAAACCTTTGTACTCACAGGTATGTGTCTTCTTTGTTACTGAGATACCTGCAAAGAGATAAACAAAACATGAATAAAATAATATGTAAAACAACTACTGTAAAATACCCAGCACAAATCATAATTTACATGGCGCTCTGCTTATATCTAACTGATAGTGATGATGGCGATAAAGAGGCAGACCCTGTGGTCCAACAGACTGTCACTGTCCAAGGTCACTGAAGTGGCAGGCCCAGGGCAACTATGTGTGTAGACTGGTGTCTGACCTGCAGCCATGCTACATCAACAACCAGGACAAGGTGGTTGAAACTCTTTCCACTGCGGGCAATGAATGAGAAATTATACTAAAACAAACAACATTTGGAATGCTAATGTCTTAAGCAGCTACACTGATTGGGCCTGAACACATGACTAAGCCTGTGGCCCAGAGCAGGATGGAGGCACTTTGACCTGATAGTCTCAATGAGATCTTGACCTCTTTTTCAAGAGGGACTGTGTACAAAAAATGTATATTAAAGCCTACGAAAAAATTGTAATTTAATTTGGTGTGTAGACAACAGCAATTAAGCATAATATAAAGGAATAATTATATAAATTTGAAAGTCTTCAACATTATAAATTAAATGTTTTTTACATAATTTCATTTGTATATAATAATTTATATATTTATTTATAAAAAGCACAAGATAATACAATTACAATGCAATAGAATTCCTTTTTACAATGATCACTTCAGACTCCTGTCTATGCAAAAATCCAGTTTTCACTTTCAAAGTAGTCAGTCAGGTGTGATGCCCAGCCAGATTCGCAAATGTTTGTAAAAGTGAGCATTTTCAATTTGAGAACCTTTGACTGTTTGGATACATCAGTGGGTGAAATGAAAATCTAAATGTGCATTACAATGTGGAGTGGCACAGATTATACATATTGTTCATATAGAGTGAAAATGAAAGGGGACTCAAAACAGACCATTGTGGAACACCTTCACTAACTTGAAAATCCTTTTATGTTGTACCATTACAAACAACAGATTAATTTTCTCCAGACAGACGGTCATAAAACCAGTTAATTGAAAAAGTATCGACACCTTATTACCGTCCATGATTTTAAATCCTTTGTTGACAAAAAGTCGACAAAAAAAGCACAACACAGTGGGAGTAACTGTCCATGGCACTGACAATCTCATGAAGATGTTACTGTGCTATGACATGGTGTAAATGCAGCCTGCTATGTCTCCAGAAAGGCCTGTGGCTGAGTTTGCTAAGGATTCCTGGAGATTAGCTAAGCAGGTAGTTTTGAATTTGGATGTTAATTATTTTAATAAGTGAAACAACCTGCGCAGGCATTCCATACATTTGGAATTATACTGGACATAAAAGTAAGGTCAAACATATCAGCAAGCGGTGCTGTAATTAAATGAGCACTGAGACATAGAAGAGGAATTATTCTCATCTTCAGACTACAATTAAAACTCACCAGTTTATTGTAAACCTCACTCTGAGAGTTAAATTGCTTATCAAACAAGTGCCCAGTATGAAGTGTTAGTCAGACCTGGCTGAGAAGAGGTGAAGCTGGCCTGCCACTGCTCATGTTACCCTTGCCCCTTTTGGTGTCAACTCATCGAATGAGCCACTATGGTTCTTGCTGTGGCTCCGGCTGTTTCTCCTGTCTGCAACATTGGTCTAATGCCCCAGGAGCCTGATGTGGACGAGCCAGCCAGCCGTGGTCCCCAGCGGCCCGCTTGATGCTCATGCTTTGCAGGGCGATAGCACACTAATAGATCCCACTTGTCATGCGGAAGCAATGGCTAATTTTTCTACAGCTTGCATTTGAAACTCGAGGGACGGCGAGCTGACATGATTCAATAACTCTGTGAAAAAGGCGTCTGGCCGGAGATAACAATGTTTCAGACACGTTTGAGGGGAAACGAGTCAAAGAGCAACGAGGGGGAAAACAAATAAGCCCTTTAGCCTCCTATAGATATACACACAGACACACATAACTGAAATCAACTCCACTGAGCAGAAAGAGGAAAAACAGTCACCTAGGGGCCAACCGTCTGTGATGGAGCTCTAGCATTGTTCCGGCGCGCTCAGGGCCAAAAGCTTTTGTTCTGTCCAAATGTGACATTATGCAAGGAGAAAATAAACAGCAATCCAGTCTTAATTCTACACTTCAATCAAATGACATCGAAGGCAGCAAGAGCTGATGATCCATTAAAGACCAGTGGTGTCAAGGTGATGCAACACAAGGCAGATATAAAAGTCTATATTAAGCTGTTAACTGGCTCTTTGTTTTGATGGATGAGACAACTTCTTATACCTTGTAAGGAACATAGCTGGTGCGCTTAGTGGAAACTGTATTAGAAGGAAATAGCAAATAACATACTTTTCCTGGCTTTTTGTCAAACCTCACGCCTAAAGTCCACTGACTCCGGCTGTGTGCCGTTACTGCGGCGCCGCTGTTGCCGGAGCTAATCGCGGCCATTCTAGTCAATGCTTGTGAGTCCTCCAGACGTGGCAGCAGTGCGTCCCAAGAGCGTCCCAGAAGCGGCTCTCCATTCCACTCCACAGAGAATAGGTAGCAGGTCTATTTTTGACGCAAGCCACGTCAAGCAGCACAGAGCAGATCCAACCAGGCAGGAAGTCAGACACACAACGGCATAGAGAATCCGGTCAATTTTCAGACTAAAACTATCGTAAAACAACAATAAACACAATTGAAATAGACACAAAAAGATATCATTTAACTATGTGGCCTAGTAGAAGCACAAAAAGAAAACACTGATTATCAAATCAACAAATCTAAACATGTCAGCAAAATCAGGCAGGCAAAATAATAATAATAATCTTTTAATAATAAAAGGCTCTGATTCTGAAAAGCTCCTCGTGGATATACAGTCTGAAGTTGATGGAACGAAACAGGGTCACAGAGAGCTGTGAAGAAGGTAGTAGAGGCACAAAAATCACAAATTAGGGGCAGGCTGCATGCTCCGCTGCTGAAATGCTTGTGAGATGCTTCCAGTGGCTGGGCTATGGACGGATGAAAACCGTGGTGCAGCCGTAACGTGCCGTAGCCGGAGACGGTGGACTTTCGACGTTACACTACCATTACAGACACATAAAACAAATGGGTATTTACGGGTAGTCTGGTGACAATGAGACAAGAAATATTATTTAGTTTCAAGTTTACTTCATATAAAACATACATAACATACAGACATGGCAAAAACTGACAGAGAATCAAAATTACAACCTGTTTCCTGTGTTTGTCTTCTACTGAAGAGTTAACAAATGTGCCTTTGTCTGACCACAGATCTTAAAGTTATAAACAACCATTTGCTTTGCAAAATGTTTATGACAGAGGAAGTGAAAGAAATGCGAGTCTGTGTGTACAGCATATGTATGCTTTCGCCCAAGGTTAGCCACACAGACCACACTGATAATGTTCATGAGATGTTCTGCTGTCATTGGCTCCTTCAAGCAAAGTTATGAAGTAAAAGTTCATCAGGCACTGTGAGGCTCATGTTTCTAAACCTGAGACTTTCATCTCTGCATCAGATGCAGGAATGAATGATCATTTTAAACAAAAAGTATACTTTTATTGCCTCACCGTAGCAAACAAGCTAAACCTGAATGCTCTGTAAAGTCAAGTCTATTTAAGAAGGGATATTACTGTAAAGGTACCCTTGGAAATTTCAGTGTAAAGTTTTTACTACATCATATTGTGTATATCCTTAGGGCAGAAAAAAACATGTTAACTGCATTTAATACCTCATGAAACTTTGTAAATGTGTTGTGAAACCAGCATTGTTTAAAGCATCCAGCAGTGGCCTTCTTACTCTATTTTTTGTCCATCTTGCTACCTGTGGTGTGTTACTGGCACCAGCTGTGAAACTGCAATACCCACTCTCTGCAGTCAACAGGAATGTGTACTACGTCACCCTCATGCTTGTAGCGTGCAAGTGTGGCCTCATGTGCATGCTAAGAGGAACAGCTTAACAAATCAGTCCTTACAGTACCACTAGTAGGCAAAATCTCTGCAGTGTACATTAAAAATGTTTTGTTTTTAAGCTAGGGATGGGATTTTTTCAGAAACATTTTTTGCTATGTTTATTGAAATTCTCTTTACTTCCTGACAGCTGTCACATAGCTGTAATCAGCGCGGCCATTAATTTCTTTCAGTCTGAATGAAATGATTGGCTGGCATACCTGCCTGTCTACCTCTTCTTCTCTGAAAAGTAAAGCCAATGTGGAAGTGCCCTGCATTCTTCCTAACAGCCAGCAGAAAGCAACTTCTTTGGTTTCAAAAAGAAGTCAGATTCCATTAGAAATAATCGCAAAATGACCCTACATCCCACTTGATTCATTACCTCAATTCTTAATGAGTTTAATGAGAATTATTAGTTTCAAGTCTTCAATTCAGCATGATGTTCATTTAGTAAATTATGGTCCCATTTAGAGGACACTAGACGACAAAGCAGGGCATGCTTTAGGGCGGGAATACCTTGTGACTGACTAGCTGACCTGTCAATGAGGAATGAGCTGATTAGTATCCACTGCACTGTGTAAATTTAACCAGTGTGGCTGAAAAAGCTTATTAGGAGTTGGCTGTTAATTTTTTCCAGCAAATACACTTTGTTTAAAGCCTGTTTTTTGCTAGCCATGGTGCAGGCTGAAAGTAACCTGGTTAAAATCGCAGTTAAGGTGAATTATGGATGCACCTTGCTAATCAAGCTAGCTAGCGCCACTGTCCAAATATCATCATGCCTGGTTGCGAAAAATTAAGATGGCAACAGCCAAAATGCTAAATTTGAGGCGTCAAAACAGTCCACAAATCAATCGGTGATGTCCACTTCTTTTAAACAGGGTATGCTCTGTGTGCATGAAAATGTGTTTCAGGGCAGTGACTCGTGAAGGGAGGGGTGGGATTTTTTCAGTTGGAAACTTTAAAAATCTAGCTGTCTCATGCTAGTTTCTCCTGTATTGCCAGCCCTAGCTTTAATAAGACAATAAAACCACATTCACAAAAAGGGATAAGATATACCA